GGAACATACATAGCGTAATTCTGCAATAAAGAGTAAGAAATGTATCTACGTTACAAATTTATAACTCACATGGAGTACACCTAGATTAGGTGTTTTTAATAAAACGAACAAAATCGGTCAGTACCAAAATAGCTGTTTAGAAGATAAGGGAGTGCACTGGATTTGAATTTTTACTGTACTTATTGGCACCCAGCAGCACCCCATTTAAGCATGTTCAGGTGAGTGCAGCCAACCCCTTGTTTTCTCATATATACATATTTAGGAGTCTAGCCAGCTCCTTGGTTCTGAACCCCTTCCTATCACAGGTGCCTCATCTCAGGACTAGAGTTGAGCGGACACCTGGATGTTCAGGTTTAGCGGGTTCGGCCGAACTTCAGAAAAAAGTCCGGGTTCGGGATCGAACTTGACCCTGAACTTGACCCCGAACCCGAACCCCATTGAAGTCAATAGGGACCCACATTTTGGGCACAAAAATGTCTCTTAAGGGCTAGAGGGCTGCAAAAGGAAGTAAGATGGTGGTAAGAGTAGGACAAGTGCACTGCAAACAAATGTGGATAGGGAAATCACTTAAAATAACATAAAATACATAAAATAAGCAGCTGCTTAGTAGATAACTCCCTAATTCCCACGGTATTAGGGAGCTATTTACCAAAAGGCTGAAAGACCTAAATTAGTCTTTCAGCCAAATTTACTAATACTAAGTAAAGATTACTTAGTATTAGTAAATTCAGCCCCTACTCGCTATAACGTGAGTAGGGGTGTGTCTAGTAAACAGTGAGCAGCCAGTGGCTGCTCACTGTAAAAAAACAAAAAAATACCTATTGCCCCCACCCCTGTGCGACGGATGGGGGCCCTAAATAAGAATATGGAGGGGGGACCTACTGTTCTCCCCACGGCCCCAACCTCTGAGCGGCGGGTGGGGGCCCTAAATAACAATAAGGGGGGGACCTACTGTCCTCCCCCCCAGCCCCCAACCCTGAGCGGTGGGTGGGGGCCATAAATAACAATGTGGGGGGGGTGGACCGACTGTCCTCCCCCCTGGCCCCCACCCCTGAACGGCAGGTGGGGGCCCTAAATAACAATAATGGGGGGACCTATGGTCCTCCCCCCCAACCCCCACCCCTGCACGGCGGGTGGGGGCCCTAAATAACAAGAAGGGGGGACCTACTGTTCCCCCCAGCCCACCTCTCCTGAGTGGCAGGTGGGGGCCATAAATAAGAATGTAGGGTTGACAAGATTATGGGGAGGTGGGGAGAAGATTATTAGGGGGGAGAAGATTAGAGGGAAGGGGGGAGAAGATTATAGGGGAGGGAAGATGGGAGGGAGAAGATTACAAGGAGGGAGGGGGGAGTGGAGAAGGTTACAGGGAGGGGGGAAGATTACAGGGAGGGGGGATAAGATTACAGGGAGGGAGTGGAGAAGATTGGAGGGAGGCGGGAGAAGAAGAAGATTACAGGGAGGGAGGGGGGAGATGATTACAGGGAGGGGGGAGAAGAAGAGAAGATTACAAGGGAGGAGAAGAAGAGATTACAGGGACGGGGGAGAAGAAGAGGAGAACACGGGGAGGGGGAATAAGAGGAGAACATGGGGGGTGGGAGATGAGAACGTAGGGGAGGGAGAGACCACTAAAGGAGGGAGGGGGCGGTGGAGAGACCACTAGGGGAGGGGTGTGAGGAGAGACTGCTAAAGGAGGGGGGTGGAGGATAGACCACTAGGGGAGGGTGGGGGGAGAGGAGAGACCACTAATGGAAAGTCGGGGAGAAAAGGAGACCACTAAGGGAGGTGGGGGGGAGAGGAGAGACCACTAAGGGGCAGGGGAGATCTCTAAGGAATGGAAGGGAGAGCTCTATAGGACAGGGGGCAGGACAGGGGGCAGGACAGGGAGCTCTTTCACACCACGCGCGCACACACACACAATGCATCCCTATACACACAGAAACACAACATGCTTCCCTTACACACAGAAAAACACACAATGCAACCCTTACACATAAAGACAATGCATCATTTGCACATATACACAGAAACACACAATGCATTCCTTACACACACATGCAAACACACACTGCATCTCTTACACACACTCAACGCACCCCTTACAGACACACACTGCATCCCTTACATACACAGAAACACACTTTGCATCCCTTATGCATACAAACACAGATTCACACAATGCATCCCTTAGACACAACAAGAAACACACAATACATCCCTTATACACAAACACTCACTGCTTTCAATCCCTTACACAAAAACACACTGCTTCCACTAAACACAAACACACTGCATAACCTACACAAACTGGTATCCCTATACACTACATTCCGTAAGCACACACATTAGATCCTCTACAGTAACACATAACACATCCCCTACACACTCTACTCCCTGTGAGCGGACTCATGGGTGGAACATGTAGGTGGACTTATGGGTGGGTTTTATGGGCATACTCACCGTCAGGCCCTGGGGCCCAGACCTTGAGCTATGTAAGAGGCCCCAAAAAATTGAGCTGCTTCCCGTTCTCCCAGAACATTGAATTTTGTGACCACAGTTACAAACAGCCTCCAGAGATCCTGTTCTACACCAGACCAGTGGAGCCAGACTGCAGCCAGAGCCCATCACCATCCTCATCTGATTGTAAGTAGGCAATCTAGTATATTATTAGTGACACTAATCTCTAATTTACCTCACATTAAATGGACACTATAGTCCCCAGAACCACTGAAGTTGTTCTGGTGTCTCTAGTTTGTCCCTGCAGGCTTTTTAATGTAAACACACACTGTGTGCAGCACTGGCACTAGTTCATATGGCAGATCATATGGGTGGGGCATTGCGTTGTCCCGGGGGGGGCAAGGGGGGGACTGGGGGTGGCAAATCTTTCTTTTGCCTAGGGTGGCAAAAATCCTTGCACCGGCCCTGAGAAAAGTATATATAGTTTACATACCTAAAATGTTTACGTGATGTTTTCTTGGCTGCTACAAAGGATGTCTGGTTGGCAGGATTGTGAGTGGTGAACAAAGACAATCTTAACAATGGGTGTAAACAAATGAAAATGTAATGACAAGATGAGGTTGTGAAATGTGTCAGTGCGTTCCAAGAACACATTTTAAATTGGAAAGTTATAAAGTTATGATTAATATAGACGACATCTGATAATTATAATCCTTAAAAGTGGAACGTATGAAAGATGGTGGAAATTTAACTACCTACCCTAAATGGGAGTGTGTCAGATGTTACCAAACTTGGATGATGCTTCAATCCAGTGGATATTAATACATATATGAAAGAAAAAAATAGGGAACATACATAGCATAATTCTGCAATAAAGAGTAAGAAATGTATCTACGTTACAAATTTACAACTCACATGGAGTACACCTAGATTAGGTGTTTTTAATAAAACGAACAAAATCGGTCAGTACCAAAATAGCTGTTTAGAAGATAAGGGAGTGCACTGGATTTGAATTTTTACTGTACTTATTGGCACCCAGCAGCACCCCATTTAAGCATGTTCAGGTGAGTGCAGCCAACCCCTTGTTTTCTCATATATACATATTTAGGAGTCTAGCCAGCTCCTTGGTTCTGAACCCCTTCCTATCACAGGTGCCTCATCTCAGGACTAGAGTTGAGCGGACACCTGGATGTTCGGGTTCAGCGGGTTCGGCCGAACTTCAGAAAAAAGTCCGGGTTCGGGATCGAACTTGACCCTGAACTTGACCCCGAACCCCGTTGAAGTCAATAGGGACCCACATTTTGGGCACAAAAATGGCTCTTAAGGGCTAGAGGGCTGCAAAAGGAAGTAAGATGGTGGTAAGAGTAGGACAAGTGCACTGCAAACAAATGTGGATAGGGAAATCACTTAAAATAACATAAAATACATAAAATAAGCAGCTGCTTAGTAGATAACTCCCTAATTCCCACGGTATTAGGGAGCTATTTACCAAAAGGCTGAAAGACCTAAATTAGTCTTTCAGCCAAATTTACTAATACTAAGTAAAGATTACTTAGTATTAGTAAATTCAGCCCCTACTCGCTATAACGTGAGTAGGGGTGTGTCTAGTAAACAGTGAGCAGCCAGTGGCTGCTCACTGTAAAAAAACAAAAAAATACCTATTGCCCCCACCCCTGTGCGACGGATGGGGGCCCTAAATAAGAATATGGAGGGGGGACCTACTGTTCTCCCCACGGCCCCAACCTCTGAGCGGCGGGTGGGGGCCCTAAATAACAATAAGGGGGGGACCTACTGTCCTCCCCCCCAGCCCCCAACCCTGAGCGGTGGGTGGGGGCCATAAATAACAATGTGGGGGGGGTGGACCGACTGTCCTCCCCCCTGGCCCCCACCCCTGAACGGCAGGTGGGGGCCCTAAATAACAATAATGGGGGGACCTATGGTCCTCCCCCCCAACCCCCACCCCTGCACGGCGGGTGGGGGCCCTAAATAACAAGAAGGGGGGACCTACTGTTCCCCCCAGCCCACCTCTCCTGAGTGGCAGGTGGGGGCCATAAATAAGAATGTAGGGTTGACAAGATTATGGGGAGGTGGGGAGAAGATTATTAGGGGGGAGAAGATTAGAGGGAAGGGGGGAGAAGATTATAGGAGGGGGGGGAGAAGATTACAAGGAGGGAGGGGGGAGTGGAGAAGGTTACAGGGAGGGGGGAAGATTACAGGGAGGGGGGATAAGATTACAGGGAGGGAGTGGAGAAGATTGGAGAAGAAGATTACAGGGAGGGAGTGGGGGAGAAGAAGAGAAGATTACAGGGGGAGGGGAGAAGATTACAGGGAGGGGGGAGGAGAAGAGAAGATTACAGGGGGGAGAAGAAGAGATTACAGGGACGGGGGGAGAAAAAGAGGAGAACACGGGGAGGAGGATATAAGAGGAGAACACGAGGGTGGGAGATGAGAACGTAGGGGAGGGAGAGACCACTAAAGGAGGGAGGGGGCGGTGGAGACCACTAGGGGAGGGGTGTGAGGAGAGACTGCTAAAGGAGGGGGGTGGAGGATAGACCACTAGGGGAGGGTGGGGGAGAGGAGAGACCACTAATGGAAAGTCGGGGAGAAATTGAGGGAGAAAGGAGACCACTAAGGGAGGTGGGGGGGAGAGGAGAGACCACTAAGGGGCAGGGGAGATCTCTAAGGAATGGAAGGGAGAGCTCTATAGGACAGGGGGACAGGGAGCTCTTTCACACCACGCGCACACACACACACACAATGCATCCCTATACACACAGAAACACAACATGCTTCCCTTACACACAGAGAAACACACAATGCAACTCTTACACATAAAGACAATGCATCCTTTGCACATATACACAGAAACACACAATGCAACCCTTACACATAAAGACAATGCATCCTTTGCACATATACACAGAAACACACAATGCATCCCTTACACACACATGCAAACACACACTGCTTCTCTTACACACACACAGAAACACAATGCATTTCTTACACACACTCAACGCACCCCTTACAGACACACACACTGCATCCCTTACATACACAGAAACACACTTTGCATCCCTTATGCATACAAACACAGATTCACACAATGCACCCCTTACACTCAACAAGAAACACACAATACATCCCTTATACACAAACACTCACTGCTTTCAATCCCTTACACAAAAACACACTGCTTCCACTAAACACAAACACACTGCATAACCTACACAAACTGGTATCCCTATACACTACATTCCTTAAGCACACACATTAGATCCTCTACAGTAACACATAACACATCCCCTACACACTCTACTCCCTTTGAGCGGCCTCATGGGTGGAACATGTAGGTGGACTTATGGGTGGGTTTTATGGGCATACTCACCGTCAGGCCCTGGGGCCCAGACCTTGAGCTATGTAAGAGGCCCCAAAAAATTTAGCTGCTTCCCGTTCTCCCAGAACATTGAATTTTGTGACCACAGTTACAAACAGCCTCCAGAGATCCTGTTCTACACCAGACCAGTGGAGCCAGACTGCAGCCAGAGCCCATCACCACCCTCATCTGATTGTAAGTAGGCAATCTAGTATATTATTAGTGACACTAATCTCTAATTTACCTCACATTAAATGGACACTATAGTCCCCAGAACCACTGAAGTTGTTCTGGTGTCTCTAGTTTGTCCCTGCAGGCTTTTTAATGTAAACACACACTGTGTGCAGCACTGGCACTAGTTTATATGGCAGATCATATGGGTGGGGCATTGCGTTGTCCCGGGGGGGCAAGGGGGGGACTGGGGGTGGCAAATCTTTCTTTTGCCTAGGGTGGCAAAAATCCTTGCACCGGCCCTGAGAAAAGTATATATAGTTTACATACCTAAAATGTTTACGTGATGTTTTCTTGGCTGCTACAAAGGATGTCTGGTTGGCAGGATTGCGAGTGGTGAACAAAGACAATCTTAACAATGGGTGTAAACAAATGAAAATGTAATGACAAGATGAGGTTGTGAAATGTGTCAGTGCGTTCCAAGAACACATTTTAAATTGGAAAGTTATAAAGTTATGATTAATATAGACGACATCTGATAATTATAATCCTTAAAAGTGGAGCGTATGAAAGATGGTGGAAGTTTAACTACCTACCCTAAATGGGAGTGTGTCAGATGTTACCAAACTTGGATGATGCTTCAATCCAGTGGATATTAATACATATATGAAAGAAAAAAATAGGGAACATACATAGCGTAATTCTGCAATAAAGAGTAGTAAATGTATCTACGTTACAAATTTATAACTCACATGGAGTACACCTAGATTAGGTGTTTTTAATAAAACGAACAAAATCAGTCAGTACCAAAATAGCTGTTTAGAAGATAAGGGAGTGCACTGGATTTGAATTTTTACTGTACTTATTGGCACCCAGCAGCACCCCATTTAAGCATGTTCAGGTGAGTGCAGCCAACCCCTTGTTTTCTCATATATACATATTTAGGAGTCTAGCCAGCTCCTTGGTTCTGAACCCCTTCCTATCACAGGTGCCTCATCTCAGGACTAGAGTTGAGCGGACACCTGGATGTTCGGGTTCAGCGGGTTCGGCCGAACTTCAGAAAAAAGTCCGGGTTCGGGATCGAACTTGACCCCGAACCTGAACCCCATTGAAGTCAATAGGGACCCACATTTTGGGCACAAAAATGGCTCTCAAGGGCTAGAGGGCTGCAAAAGGAAGTAAAATGGTGGTAAGAGTAGGACAAGTGCACTGCAAACAAATGTGGATAGGGAAATCACTTAAAATAACATAAAATACATAAAATAAGCAGCTGCTTAGTTGATAGCTCCCTATTTCCCTCTTTGGTATTAGGGAGCTATCTACCAAAAGGCTGAAAGACCTAAATTCGTCTTTCAGTCAAATTTACTAATACTAAGTAAAGATTACTTAGTATTAGTAAATTCAGCCTCTACTCGCTATAACGTGAGTTTGGGTGTGTCTAGTAAACAGTGAGCAGCCAGTGGCTGCTCACTGTAAAAAAAACAAAAAAATACCTATTGCCCCCACCCCTGAGCGGCGGGTGGGGGCCCTAAATAACAATAAGGGGGGACCTACTGTCCTCCCCCCCAGCCCCCAACCCTGAGCGGTGGGTGGGGGCCATAAATAAGAATGTGGGGGGGGACCAACTGTCCTCCCCCTGGCCCCCACCCCTGATCGGCGGGTAGGGGCCCTAAATAACAATAATGGGGGGACCTATGATCCTCCCCCCCAGCCCCCACCCCTGCACGGCGGGTGGGGGCCCTAAATAACAATAAGGGGGGACCTACTGTCTTCCCCCCAGCCCACCTCTCCTGAGCGGCAGATGGGGGTCATAAATAAGAATGTGGGGGGGGGGACCTACTGTCTTCCCCCCCCCCAGGCCCCACCCCGGAGAGGTGGGTGGGGGCCATAAATAAAAATTGGGGTGGACGGGACCTAATGTCCTCCCCCCTTGCCCCGCTCATTTTTATTTATGGCCCCCACCCACCGCTCAGGGGTGGGGGCCGGTGGGATGACAATAGGTCCCTCCCCTCAGGGGCGTACCTAGCATTTGGCACCCGGGGCGGCTCCTGTGGCAGCACCCCTCCCCCCCACCCAAAAAAAAAAAAAACCTGTAAAAAATGTTAAAAGTTTTCTTTCTTTTTTTTTTTTACAATTTGTAAACTTTGCAAAACTGCTGTCAGCCCCTCCTACAAAACCCTTGTCCTGCCCCAACCCTCCTACAAAACCTCTGTCCTGCCCCTTCTACAAAACCCCCGCAACCCCCTTCCACAAATCCCCTGCTTATCCCCCCTTATAAAGACTCCTGTCCCAATACAAAACCCCCCCCCTTCTACAAAACCCTGCAGCCCCACAAACACATTTACAGACAGACAGAAACACACACTCAGTTACAGGCAGACAGTCACACACAGTCACAGGCAGACAGTCACACACAGTCACAGGCAGACAGTCACACATACACATTTCCTCCGTGCAGCCAGTTTATCAGCTGTTTGCTTGTGTGAGCTGTACTGGCCGCACGGCACCCTAACTACCATGGGACACTGTGCGACCACAGCTCACACAGCCCCCTCCAGCCAGGGCCGGTGCAAGGATTTTTGCCGCCCTAGGCAAAAGTAAAGTTTGCCGCCCCCCCCATGTGACATCACAATGCCCCACCCATATGATTTGCCATGTTAGCTAACGCCAGTGCTGCAGTGCCGCCGAGTTTACATTAAAAGGCCTGCAGGGACAGGCTATACACACCAGAACCACTACATTAAGCTGAAGTGGTTCTGGGGACTATAGTGTTTCTTTAATGTGAGGTAAATTAGAGCTTAGTGCCACGAATAATATACTAGATTGCCTACTTACAACCAGATGAGGATGATGATGTGCTCTAGCTGCAGTCTGGCTCCACTGGTCTGGTGCAGAACAGGCTCTCTGGAGGCGGTTTGTAACTGTGGTCACAAAAATCAATGTTCTGGGAGAACGGGAAGCAGCTCAATTTTTTGGGGGTCCTTTACATAGCTCAAGGTCTGGGTCCCAGGGTCCACCTTCATGTTCCACCAATGAGTTTGTTCACAGGGGGTGGAGTGTGTAGGGGATATCCTGATATGTGTGTAAGGATTGCATTGTGTGAAATTGTGTTTGTATGTGTAAGGGCTGCAAGGTGTGTTTCTGTGTATGTATGGGATGCATTGAATGTGTGTAAGTGGTGCATTGAGTGTGTGTAATGAATGCATTGTGTGTTTCTGTATGTGTAAGGGATGCATTGTGTGTAACGGTTGCATTGCTTGTGTATGTGTGTCTGTGTGTGTAATGCGTTGTGTGTTTTTCTGTGTGCAAGGGGTGCATTGTGTGTATGTGATGAATGTCAATCTCTCCTCCCGCTCCAATTTCCTTCTCCTCCTCCCAATTTCTCTTTCTCACCCCCCCCCTCTAATATCTCTTCCCCCTCGTAATTTCAATTCTCACCCCCCTCCTAATTTCTCTCCACCCCTAATTTCTCTTTCCCCCCTCCTAATATCTCTTCCCCCCCTCCTAATTTAAATTTCTCTCCCCCCTCCTAATTTCTCTTTCTCACCCCCCTCCTAATTTCTCTCCCCCCCTAATTTCTCTTTCCCCCCTCCTAATATCTCTTCCCCCCTCCTAATTTCAATTTCTCTCCCCCCCTCCTAATTTCAATTTCTCTCCCCACCCTAATTTCTCTTTCCCCCCTCCTAATATCTCTCCCTCCCTCCTAATTTCTCTCACCCCCTCTCCTTTCTCACCCCCCCCTTTCTCTTTCTCTCCCCCTCCTTTCTCACCCCCCGTCCCTT